CAGGGCAGGCTGAGGGGAGATGACTGCTGACATGCCACGGCTGGGCCAGGACTGGGCCTGTGTGTCCAGCAGGGGTGGGGCAGGGCGGGGCGAGGTGGGGTGGGGCGGGGAAGGCTTAGAGAGATGCAAACATGACAGGAAATTAGGTGACTTGCCCAGGGTCGCATAGCCAGGGTGAGGGACAGGCTGGTGGCCCCAGCAGCCACCTGTGCCTGCTCCACCTATCAGCCCCACCCACTGCCAGCACCCCAGGAGGCAGACCTCAGCTGCCCTGAGAGAGGGGAGGGAAGAAGGGGGAGAGGAGGGGGCGGAGCACTGTTCAGGATGGCTGGAGTCACGGCTACTAACTGCCAGCTGAAGGAGTCTCGGGGGAGAGCCAAGACATTTGCCAGGTCCATGTCCCGGAGGAGGGTGCCCACAGAACAGAGCCCCATGCGGTACCTGTTCACAGCAAAGTTCTCGAACCCAAAGATGTCCAGGAGGCCAATGGACCGGCGAGAGTTCTTCACCTCCTGGGAGGGAGGCTTGTAAATGGCTGCGTTGATCTTGTCCACGATCCACACGAAGAGTCGCCCGTAGATGCCCTGAAAGGTGGCAGTGGTGGCATAAGCCTCAGGTCCAGGCCAGGCCCCGTGTGGCCTACTGCAGCCCCATCCATGGGACCACATGCTCGAAACACCCAAGCCTTTACTTAAGCTGTTCCCTCCACTGGAGCGTCCACACCCTCTCCTGCCTGAACCCGCATCGCTTCCCCGCCCCCTCCCCCCAGTGCTGCTCAGACATCGGACGAGAGCCCCCAGCCCCGGCCCCAGCCCAGCAAGTGGGAAGGAGCCAGGGGTCCCATCTTCACACCCATCTCCTCCGTGAGCTTGGAGGGGCTCAAGGGTCCCGCAGCCCTGCTCAGGGCCTGGGCGGGGTTGGGAGGTGGTCCAATACCTGGCAAATGCACGACTGAGAACCTGGGGGGGAACTGGAGGCCTCTCACCACCCAGCCCTGCGCCTTCTGCAGAGACAAGGAGGGTGTGCCCAGGGCAGAGTGGTGGGCAAAGGAGCCCCTGGGAGCACAGCACCGGCCCTGGAGGGCTCTGAGGGAAGCAGCTTCTTGTCTCGGTCCCAGGAGAGGGCAGGGTCAAGGGCAGATGTCCACCCCACTCCAGACTGTCCCCCACTCCCGACCCCCCGGGTATAGAGAGCGGGCACCACCCAGGGCCCACCTTTACGAAGGCATCCCGCACATCCAGCGCCTGCTCCCTGCTGAGCGGGGTAGACACGGTCTCCCCACGGGTGATGAGGGTGCGGCTAGTCAGGCAGCTCATCAGGTCTGGGGGGCTCACCTAGTACAGTAGGCACCCCAGTGTTTACCCAGCTATTGCCGCCTGCCCCTCCCTCCCTCTTCCCAACCTGGGCCTGGCTCAGGCTCTCTCTCCACTAGGAAGGCCCCGCACTGCCCCCAACGACCCCCATGCTGCCTGGAAGGCATCCCTCCCCTGAGCCCCTGCACTCCTGCCAGGTCCAGCCCTGACTGGTGTATTCATCGCGGTTTCCCACCCAGGAAGTATTTGCTACAGACGGACACTCGGACACTCTGCGTCTACTCCTCACCAGTGCCCTTGCCCAGCGGTGGGCACTGAAGCCCCAAGGGCAGCAATGACACGCCAGGGTCCCACAGCCCAGGCCCTCATGCCCACCGTCCCAGGGCAGCCGGCTGAGTTGAGGCCAGGAGGCTCCAGGGCCCATGCCCAGCACAGCCCCTGCCACAGCTGGCTCTCCATCTCGAGCAGGAGTCCTCGGCCCAGAACCTGGTCCCACAGCCCAGTCACTGAGCCCAAGTCCACAGTGTCTCAGCAGGGACAGAGGCGAGGCGGGAGGGGCAGCCACTGACCCCTCCAGTAGAGATGCGGCTGTGGCCAGCGACGGGGAGAAGAGGACCTCACAGGCATCCAAGTTTTCAAACGTGCGGGCTGTGGGCAGCAGGGGACAGCGGGGGCCAGGGTTGTGGCGTGAGGCCAAGGGACCAGCTCTAGGAGGCTGGGGCGGTTGCCTGGATCCCAGGAGCCCTCCCGTCCCCAGAGGGCACCAGCACCGCAATTAGGTGCTTCTCTGGTTCAGTAACCGTCTCATCCAGGTTCTCACCAAGAGCCCATGGGCCCTGCAAGGGAGGGACCTTGCATTCCCAGCTCCTGGCACTATGCCTGGCATCGAGTAGCACACACTGGTGGCTGCATCTGCCCCTCAGCTCCAGCCTGGATGCGAGCTCTCAGCAGCAGCCCTGGTTCCTATGATGGAACCTATGAGGCGGCCCTGCTTGCCCCAGCCCCGAGACCTCTGCACTGCCCTCCCTTCCGCTGCCTGGTGCAACCTCCTCTGCATCTCGGTCTTGAGGCCGACTAGACTGTCTCATGGTGCTGGAATCACCCATGACCAAGCGACTTTTCCAGATTCCCACTGTGCCCAGGGGCCCCGCTGAGCACCAGAGGTAAGAGCAGAGAGGGACGTGGCACCCGCTTCAGGGACTACCTCCCAGCCTGGCACACAGGTGCCCAAGGGATGCTGGGAGACTGACATCTCTCTCTTTCCAAAAGTGGCTATCGGTCACTCACATCTTAGCATGAATAGTTGGAAAACTTGCCCTTCATCTGAGACATTTTAAATCTTCTTAAAGGAGAAAACAAGTTTGGAGGGGCCTCGAAGGGCACCTGGTCAACTTGCACGTATCTGTAGGTCTCTGTGACAGAACCCTGGCGCAGTGACGCCGCTCTTGAGGCAGACTTCAAGCTTGCAGACTTCAGATCTACCGGCAGGTGAGCTCCACCCACTCTCACCCACGGGGCCACATGCTAGGCTGCAAACTGCACCGCCAGTGCCCAGGAGGGCTCGGTGTCCGGCCCTTGGTGCGCAGGGCACTGGGCGGCACAGCGGGGCAGGCGGGGCATGCAGAGCGGGCTCACCCTCGTACTGCAGGTTGCCCATGTGCAGGATGGCGGCCAGAAGCTTGGAGATCTCCCAGTTCTCGGTGTCGGTGAACATCAGCACCTTCATGGCGGAGCGGATGTTGGCGTACTCCTGGCTGTCCTCCCGGCCCTCGCAGGTTATGCAGTTGCCCTGATGGCAGGTGGGAGAGTGGCAGCAGGAGGGCAGGGAGGCCCTGGCACCCGGCAGAGGCAGGGCCTGGACCATAGGCCCCTTCCATCAGGCCAGGCCGGGCCAAGTCTGCAGCTCCGAAAACAGCC